GCCGATGTCATACTTTTGCTCCACCCACTTTCTCACGTCATATTTTTTGCCCCACTCACTTTTCTCGTCCTTTTGCCACTTCCTCGTCTACTTTTGTTCCACCCCTTCCTCCCTCATACTTTGTTACACTTCCTCGTCTTACTTTTGTTCCACCGCTTCCTCGTCCTTTGTTTCACTTTCCTCGTCATACTTTTGTTCCCACTTCCTCACGTCATACTTTGTTCTTCTCATCATACTTTTGTTCACCCCACTTCCTCGTCATACTTTTGTTCCACTTCCTCACGTCATACTTTTGTTCCACCCACTTCCTCACGTCATACTTTTGTTCCACCCACTTCCTCACGTCATACTTTTGTTCCACCCACTTCATCACGTCATATTTTTGCTCCACCCACTTCCTCACGTCATATTTTTGTTCCACCCACTTCCTCACGTCATTCTTTTGCTCCACCCATTTCCTGACGTCCACCCACTTTCTGGTGTAGTATTGTCGCTATACCCACTTTCTGACGTCATACTGTAGCTTCATCCCTTCCATGACGTCACTCTTTTAGCCCCACCCACATCCATGACGTCACACTCATAGCTCCACCCTTTCCTTGACGTCACTCTCGTAGCTCCACCCCTTCCTTGACGTCACTCTCGTATTTACCCCTTTCTTGAATGACACGCTCCCTCACACAGCTGCTAACTTGACGTCACTTATCCAAACAGACGTGGAGAAGATCAACACCATCGAACAGTACCCGCTGGAGCGTCAGGGTGGGCGGGGCCAGAATCACGTGATCTTTGACATGGAAGACAACGGCATCATCCCCGCCAGCAACAATATCAACAATGACGTCACAAAAGGGGGAGTGGAGCAGAAGAGTCAACTGGGGAGAGAGAGAGGCAAGAATGACATCTTCTCCAGCATCCTCTCTGGCAACGCAGGTGAGTCTCGTGATGATGATAACAATAACAGCTGTAATAATAGTAATAATAACAATAATAACTAATAACAAAAATAATAACAATAATAACAATACCAACAACAACAATAATAACAATAATAACAATAACAATAATAACTACCAACAACAACAATCATAATAACAATAATAACAATAATAACAATAACAATAATAACAATACCAACAACAACAACAATAAACAATACAAATAACAATACCAACAACAACAATAGTAACAATCAATATACACTTATAGTCAAGACCTGTGCACCAATAGCAGCAGTATCTCTCAGGTGACAGTGTACAAGTCAATAGCACGAGTGTTTGAGCTATTACACCTACACATCACCCCCACACACCCACACATCCCCACACACCACACATCACCCCACACCCTCATCACCCACACACACCCTCATCCCCCACACACATCACCCACACACTCATCACCCACACACCACATCACCCCCACCCTCATCCCACACACCCACACATCACCCCCACACACCCACATCACCTCACACACCCATCCCTCACACACCCCATCACCCACCCCACACATCACCCACACCCCTCATCACCCCACCCACATCACCCCCACACACCCACACATCCTCCACACCCTCATCACCCCCACACACCCACATCCCACACACCCACACATCATCACACACACACCCACATCACCCACACACCCACACATCACCCCACCACACACATCACCCCCACCCCTCCATCACCCCACACACTCCACACATCACCCCACACACCCACTCATCACCCCCACACACCCACACATCATCACACACCCACTCATCACCCCACACCACACATCATCACACACACCCACACATCACCTCCACAAACCCACATCATCCCACACCCTCATCACCCCACACACCCACACATCACACCCACATCACCCACACACACCACATCACCCCACACCCTCATCCACACATCACCCCACACACCCACACATCATCACACACACCCACACACATCACCTCACAAACCATCATCCCACACATCATCACACACCAACACATCACCCCACATCACCCCACACACCACACAGCATCTCACACACCCACACATCACCCTCACACACACCCACACACATCACACCCACACATCACCCCACACCCACACATCACCCACATTCACACATCACCTCAAACATCTACACATTACACACACACATCACCCCACATACCCACACACATAACTCCCCACACACTCACACATCACCCCACATCCACCACCCACACATCACCCACACACCACATCACCACACACCACATCACCCCACACACTCACATCCACCCCACACAGCCACACATCACCCCACACCACATCACCCCACACACTCATCACCCCCACACACTCACATCACCCCCACACAGCCACATCACCCCACACACACTCACATCACACATCACCCCCACACACTCACACATCACACACACCCACACACCCATCACCCCACACCACATCACCCCATCACCCACACCCACATCCCCACCCCCACCCACATCACACCACATTCCCACACACCCACATCACCCCCACACACACCACATCACCCCACACATCACCCCACACCCACATCACCCCCACACACACCACACACATCACCCCACACACACCCACATTACCCCACATACCCACACATCACCTCACACACCCACACATCACCCCCACACACCCACACATCACCCCACACATCACCTCACACACCCACACATCACACACAAGATGTCTCATGTTATAACGAACACAGTAGGTGAGTTTAACATTAAAGTAAGATGAGGTATAATTTAGTTTAAGCACATAACTAACACACACTTGCATAATGACCAGGTGTTTCATTGTATCCAAAAGGTGTTTCATAATTAACAAAAGGTGTGTCATTATATTCAGGACCTACTGTTGAAACACTTACCAATAAAACAATACCATTATGAAGACATTCTCGTTGGTTCTCTCCCGAGGCACTCCCGGTCCACCCTGCTGTGAATGTGTACCTAACTTTACAGTTCGTGTGAGTGTGTGTGTGTGTGTGTGTGTGTGTGTGTGTGTGTGTGTGTGTGTGTGTGTGTGTGTGTGTGTGTGTGTGTGTGTGTGTGTGTGTGTGTTACTCAGTACACTCACATATAGTATATTCAGACAAACACACGCTAGTCTCCATGGGTTGTAGTGAGAGAAGTGATGCTAATATATCTTTTTGTCTCTGTTTAAACCCAGACATGAGATCTTTCAGTCACCCTGCCTTATTTATGATCACTTTGTCATAACTTAATAAACCTTTACCACAGGGTTGGTTTTTTAGGGGGGCAATGTTGAATACTTTTATAAAATGTTGAATCGTTTTGCAATGTTTTTTGTTGTTTTTTCAGTGATTATTTCTGCAATATTGAATGATTTTACAATGTTGATGTTTTATAGTATTGATTTTTTGCGATGTTCAGCGTATTTGTTCCTTGTCTGGGACCGTGAGAAGTTAGGTGAGTAATGAGGGGTTATATAATGAGTGATGTGTTACTGTAGACATCACCTCAGTGTACAGGAAGACTTAGAAGAATGTTAATACACTGCCTTACAGATGGTCGTGGAGATCGCGTGAACATTGTCTTCACTTGTGGGAGACCTCACACAGTACGTCAACAGTGAGGACAATGTTGGTGTTACACTACAAACATTCACACGATCGCCACGAAAAACTTCAGGGGAATGCCTCTACATTTTTATGAGACACCCTGCTATTTATCCTCACTAATATCAATAAGTACAAGGGTTCGACCCCCCAGTATGACAGGGTCGTTCACTGTGCCAGGTCACTCGAGGTTACCAGCTGGAGGAGGACTTGGCGAGGTCACCAACCATGAAATTGCCCTTAGAGTGAGTTATTACAGGTCATAGAGAGTCACTGTAAACGACTTCGGGCCAGACAAACTACATACATCGACTCTACTCTCTCTCTACCGCCGTGGATACTGTTACCCCTGCCGCAAAGGAGCGCCACGGCAGGCAGAAGATCAGGCGAACGTTCGTCTGGCGTAGGTTTTGTAAGACGTATCATTGAGGACTGGATGGAAGCGACAGGTGACACATACACCTTCAGGAGATGACGTCATGTGGAGAGTAAAGTATCGCAATATTGTGAAGGACTGTTGACCCTCTCCACCTCCCTCTCCCCCTTCTTCCCTCCCTCTCATCCTCTCCCTCTCCACCCCCTCTCACCCTCCCTCTCTACTCCCCTTCACCTGCCGTCGTCTCCGTCTCTATAATATCTCCCCTTCATACCTGACAGCCCTCACACAGCCCTCACCAAACAGCCCTTAGTCTTACCCTCCCTCCATCCCTCCACAGAGCCCTTAGTCTTACCCTCCCTCCATCCCTCCACACAGCCCTTAGTCTTACCCTCCTCCATCCTCCACACAGCCCCAGTCTTACCTCCCTCCATCCCCTCCACACAGCCCCCTCAGTCTTACCCTCCTCCATCCCTCCACACAGCCCTCAGTCTTACCCTCCCTCCATCCCTCCACACAGCCCTCAGTCTTACCCCTCCTCCATCCGTCCACACAGCCCCAGTCCACCCTCCTCATCCTCCACACAGCCCCTCAGTCTTACCCTCCCTCCATCCCTCCACACAGCCCTCAGTCTTACCCTCCCTCCATCCCTCCACACAGCCCTCAGTCTTACCCTCCCTCCATCCCTCCACACAGCCCTCAGTCTTACCCTCCCTCCATCCCTCCACACAGCCCTCAGTCTTACCTTCCCTCCATCCCGCCACAGATAGCGACGACGTGTAAGTTTAACCTAAGCTTCCCTCCTTCATGACCAGTTAGCAGTGTTCCTCTCCGGACTCCCACCCTCTCTCTCTGCCCCCGTCCCTCCCTCCCTCCCGATAACCAATAACTCCCAAGGATTCTTTGATGAGCATTACAGCTTTCCTTATATCGAAATTGTTTGGAAGTTTATGTAGCCGAGAGAGCTGGGGTCCCTCGTGTGCTCAAACGCCCTCAGCATTGCGATCATATTTCAGAAATTTCAACAAGACGGAGGACTTCCCCAAGACGTGCCTGAAGGTGGTGGTGCAGCCTCCGTCTCCCGCCTCCATCCTCCTCCTACCCCACCTCCCTCAGGCCCACCAAAGACACGTGTCACCGTCACGCTAAGTAAATAAAGAAGATAATGAAACGCATATTTGAAATTCAGCGAATTTTTGTGGAAAGGCGGGTGAGGCCCCGGGGCAGTTGGGCCGCTCGCTACCGGGGCCCGGCCAAACATGGTCAAAGAGGCAACGCGTCTCTCAGACTAACGTTCTATTTTCTGTAATAACGCTCAGGAGGCCGTACAGGTCGTGGGATATTAGGATCTATTTCAGCCATTAAAGCTACGTTAGCTACTTCACCGACTCACAAGACTCTAACGCTGGAAGACGAGACCAACCTCACGAAATATATTCTCCACCTCTCGACAGCAGGCGGGATCATCCACCTCAACCACCTCCACCTGACAGTCCTCGATATCCCCTTCCTACCTCGTGAAGGAAGTCGCGCATTTTTGGATATTTTCCCCTCAGATATTTTTTCAGTATCCGAATCTTATCATTATTCAGTGGCATCAAAAGAAGGTTAAAGGAGCCGCAGAATTTTTAACAACACGCTGTGGTTAAAAATATATCGGGGTACCGTAGACTGGCGGCCGCTCTTGTTATCATATATATTAAGGCTAATGTATGAACACGACTCAACAATTTAACACAGTTTCCGGGGCCGTGTCAGAACCCCCAATTATATCTGCCTGGGATATTCAAGCCAGGCTGACTCTCTCCATCACACACACACACACACACACACACACACACACACACACACACACACACACACACACACACACACACACACACACACACACACACACACACACACACACACACACACTCTACACAAACACAAAAGGTTGAGTGACTCT